TCTAAGATATTATTTCGTTATTAAGACGTTAATGCCCTAAAACATTCACACCAGATATTTTGATAACGAATAGTATAAAGTCATTATGAATATAAGTAAAAGGGTAAATGTTGGATAATATGTGGAATATATTGCATACGAGAACCATAAGTTATAAGATTTTTTTTAATTAGGGGTCTAGCACTACAAAAAAATTGTGCATTTGTGAATAATTTTGTGACATCTCATAGTATTTGTGAAGGAATTTGTGACGTCTCATAGAGTAAAAATGGGTAGTTCTCTTCTAATATAATAAAAAAATACTACATCTATTCATGAGTACTTGTCTCATTTTGAATTTCTGCAAACGATCACTTTCAATTTTTTATCTCGAATATAATAATAATTAGATAGTATTTTAATTAGATAAAATAATATTTTTGAAGTATTTTATAAAATAAATATAATAAAATTATTTTGCTTCATAATAATATCTAATATAAATTTTATTTAATCGATGGTCAAATTTTTTAATTTTAACGATCAAAAAAATTAAAACTAGACAAATACTAGTAGACAGGGTAATACTCTGTAAAAAACGTAAAGAAAATATTTTTAAAAACACAACAATAGAAGCGGTATGAGACAGATTTATGAAAGAAAAAAAAGAAGTGTAGAAAATGAATTGGAAATTGGTAACGTTAATTCCATAAAAGTAGGAAAAGTTAATGATTGTTATTTTCTAAATAAGTAAAGTGATAATGGAGTTAATTATTTCCATAAATATATGAGTAGTTAATGCAAAGTTAGTTCATAAATAAGTGAAGAGTATATAATTTAAAACAAGAAAAAAGATGGTGTAGAATTTCTCTCATGATCGCAATATTATTTTTAAATATGCACATTTATTTTTTTTAATTTGAGTTATTTTATTATATATATCTTTTCAACAAACAAAATATAGTAGAATTGTATTTTGATGATACGTACTCACTCTATTAAAATGTATTAAAATGTAGTATCTGTTAATTTTTTTAAACCAAATGACGCATAGTAAAACAATGTCTTTGTATAGAGTCTTGGTGAGCTTCCCATCATAATCTTGGGAAGTGATCTTTATGCCATTCAAGTCAATAGAGACTCTCACCATAGTTTGTTTAATTGGACGTACAGTTCTCTAATGGTGTGTCATTATTTCATTTGTCAAATTGACATTACCTGTTATTTTAATTTTTGTATAGAGTAAATTTCTAAAATGACCATTTGTAATAAGGTGTTTTCCCAAATTAGTACTCAATAATTTTTAATTACCCACGTGGTTCTTTATAATTGAGATTTATTCCATAATTAGTTCTTTGTAAATAGTTTTACTCAAATGATGCTTAATTGGGGGAATATTGTTTGTATTTTTTATCACCTAATTTAGAAAAAATTCTTAAAATGATCATTTCTAATGAAATACTTTCCCAAAATGATTTTTTCATATCGAATATGTGTATTTGATTTGAATTTTAAATGATTTTTTATTGGTTTAATTTTTAGTAATTCGTGGATAATGTATAGTCAATGAATTTTTTTAATTTTAAATTTAATTGTATAGAATTTAGCATTTCAAGAATATACTTTAAATTTAGATAACAGAAATACCAAAATAACCTTTAATTAATCATCATTTGAATAACATTATTTACGAAGGACTACCTGAGAAATTAACATTTTTTTTTATTGCAATGCATAAGTTCAACCCTTTTTATACTGTCAAGTATTGACTAAAAGGTTTTGATAATTGACATACACAAGGAATATATGCCACCAAAAAACAACAAATAATAGTTTAAGGCATATGTTAGTCGATGTGCACAACTTCAGGGGGGGAGTGAATAGAGTTGTTGAGAATATTCACCGATTTTCGCAGGAGTGTTTGTGTGTGTAAATAAAAATAAACGAGTGTGCAGCGAAAATAAAATAGAGAAGACAAAGAATACACCTATGTATATTGGTTCACCACCTCGTGGCTAGTCCAGCTTCCCGAGAGACTTTCTCGAAACTATCCGTACTTATCAAGCTTCAATTGGTGCTTGACAAACCGTTTACAACTTGAGAACTTGAATCCCACAAGTCTCAACACAACCACTCGTAGATATGCCCTCTACAAGACTTCAAACCCAAGACTTAAGTCACATAAGTCTTATACAATAAGAAGTGTAACCTTCGTCAACCTCACAACAAAGCTCTCACTAGAGTAGAAATGAGAAACCATTAAGCTCTATGGATGACAAGAACACTCTCTTGAAAACAAAAAAGTTTTCTCTCTAGGTAACTTAATTTGAGGAAAAGGTTAATGGAGGATGCAGATCACAAGAATGAGATATTTTTAGGTTTCAAGTGTCTAAAAATGACCAAGGAAGAGGGTCTTAAATAGGGTAAAGAGAATATATTCGTTGGACCAAGAAAAGAAAGGTTGGTGCAGGAAACAACATAAAAATCGATTTTTCTAAGTCTGAAAATTGATTTTGGAAAATAAGGCAGAAATATTTTTAACCAAAAAGTCGATTTTGTTAAAGCAAAAAATCGATTTTTATATGTTGGTTTTGAATCATTAAGAATTCGAATCCAGAAATCGATTTTTACTGAGAACAAATTGATTACTGACGCGGATTTTACATAGACAAGATCTTAAAGAATATTTGCACGGTAATAGTGGCTCAAGGGACAATATATCCTTATTCCCCATGTGAAGATGTATTGAATTGATGGTTCCATGACCCAAGGATTCATCTAAATTAAAAATTTGACTTTGAATTTAGTTGGGGTGCAAAATTGAGTCCAAAAAAAATATTTAGTGTGTCAAACGATGTTCGGAAGTATTTGTATAAAATATTTTTGCTCACCAAACATATTTTCTAATATTAAAATAAGAAATTTGATAAATGTTTGATACACCTTTTGTAACTCACTGATTAAAAGCATTTTTAAATAGTTAAACAGAATTTTTCAACTGACTCCAAAAGAAGTATAATTTTTATATAGCCCTCATTAAATCATGTGCTCTTTCTTGAATACTTCAAAAGATTTGACACTTCAAGTCTTTGTGTTTGTCAATATAGAACTTTATTCTTGACTTGAATAACTTGTGTATGTCAATTACAAAAACCTATTAGTCAACACTTAATAGTACAAAAAGGGTTGAGCTCATGCATTCCAACAATGATGTATTTATTAAGGAGCATATGCCTTAAACTATTAGTCGGTAAACATTATCAACAATCTTGCTCTGATATCAATTGTTACTAGATGAGCACAACTCTAGAGTGTCTTTAGTGATTTTTTTCATTTTCTTCCAATTTTTATAGTTCTTCGTGTTCCTTGTATATTTTTCTTGATTTCTCTAGTTTCTTCATCTCCTTTCATTTTTTTCCGAACTATTACTCTTTCATCCTAAAATTAACTATACATTTAAATATTCACGGTCTTTAGTACAACATTTTGATCATTAATATCTCTATTTATATATAAATATAAATTATAAAAAAATTCAAAATTATGTTTCAAAAATGAATATATTGAAATTAAATTTATGCGAAAATTTAAAGTATTTTTTCGTAATATGCAGTCAAAGTTAAAAAAATTGACCATAAAAGTCAAAATGGGAAATTAATTTTAGGACGGAGGGAGTATTATTTTCTTCAAAATATTTTTAGTTTCTGTGAATAACGACTCAAATAGTCATTCAAAAATTCCTCACACATTTAATCAATGCTAATCATACATTTTTTATTATGTTTACACTATGACTTTTTATTACATTTTATTAAATACTCCCTCCGTCCCCCATAGATCTTCCCAATAGCCTTTTTTCTTTGTCCACAATAGATCTTCTCATTTCATTTTTTAACAACTAAAATACCACAACTACCCCCACTTACTTTGTTTATTACACCTCACCCACCTCATTTAATACACTCCACCCATTTTCATTAAGGGTATTATGGTAAACTTTCACCTTTTTTCAACTCTCCTTAAAAACCACCAAAAGTCAAAATGAGAACATCTTAGGAGGACGGAGGAAGTACATTATTTGCCAAGATTAAACACATTTAATGTATTCGTAAACAATATTTGTTCATCAAGTTTTGAAAAAAAGTGTTAAAGTACTCTGTATTGGTTAGAATGCAGCCCACTAAAAAATAGTCCACTCTAGCATGAACCCAAAATCCAAAAAATAATGAATTCATTTACTCTGTATCTTTTGCGTGGCCAACGCCTAAAACATTAGACCCTTTGCCACTAACTTGTGATCAACATCTAATTACTCCTCTAAGCGACCGTCCGACCGGGTCTGAGAAGGCCCTCGGGGATGAGGCTCATCCATTTTCCTAAAACACTCAACTAACCACTCATTACCTCTCATTTTACTTACTATCAAAATATTGGTACATACCTTTAGTATACAAATTGAGTACAAATTTTGGAGTACATATTCAACATTTAAAAAAACACTAAGGTTCCTACCCCCTAACCCCCCGGTAAATCCTCCCACCCCACCCCGACCCAAACACATCCCCCACCCCCTTCAATTGCACTTTACAAGTTGATTTTGATTTTGGAATCAAATTTTACCGAGTCAATGTCATGAGAACCTTGCCCTTTAAAAAATTGGAGTATGTGTGAAGCCTACTTTACAGAGTAAAAAAAGGAGTATCTTTAGGGAGTAAAAATAAAAGGATTATGTTATGTGTACCCCAAGTTTTGTACCCCAATTTGTACCCCGCAGTTTTGCACCAACACTTTGTGTTGGTGTAAAACTAATTTTTGTTAAATGCACCAACATTTGTGTCCGTGTGAATTTTTATTAACGCACCAACACTTGTGTCGGTGTAAACCATCGAAATGTTTGTGCAAACCTGTGATGTACAAATGGGGTATATTTTTTGGTGTAAGTGTAGCGTGGTCCAAAATAAAAAGGATGGAATGGTTGAAGCTCTACTGTGGGCTCTAATGTCAGGATTGATGGGATATGTCTGGAGCCACCCTCACCATGAATTTTCCAATTCGTCACTGATCGGTAAAAGACCCTTTCACTTTACCATAGTACCATACCCTCCAGCGTCAATGGCCGCGACAAGATTGCTAGAAGATAGGATGAGGATTTTCCTGCTTTCAGTTTTAGCATTCGTAGCATTGGCGCCAGTAACAGCTCCACTTCCTTCTTTATCCTCTCCATCCCCCCTCCCTATATCAGTGAGTATTATGCATTCTTTTGAGATGATTTTAAATGGTGTATCATGAAAGCTGGTTGTTTATGGAATTTTGTTAAACCGGCGCTTTCTGGCAGAGAAGCGCAGAGAGAACATTTGAGATCGCGGATGATATGTTCTGGAAAGATGGACAACCTTTCAGGATCATTGGAGGCGACGTGCATTACTTTAGGATTCTTTCAGAGGTATTTTTCAGGGTTGTTTTTGGCAGTAAAAAATGTGAATTGAACCGATTCAATAAATCCATGGTACTATAGTCTCTCAACAGAATCACCATTCAAAGTGATATTTTGTGAACCACTCCAAGTTGTTAGCAGTAGGTTAGGGGATGGTCAGAGTTGTTAGTTTGTTGATGGTGTTGTATTGTTTGGCTATATAAGCCCTTCATCTCTGTACATTTAAGAATCACTGAATGAATAATCCTATTTACTCTCTTCTATTCATCCCTCTCCCTTTTTCTCTCTCGTTATCTCTCTCTTCCTCTCTAATTCCCGGATCTCCAAATCCGCCATTAATGGCTGTACAGAACTTTTCAAAGCTCTCTTCTTTGTAGTCTGAGTAGCTTTCTATTAGGCTGTATCTTTGGTACCGGAGCATTTTGATTCTGGTTAGTGATCACAAGTCTTTTTCTCTTTGGTTCAGTTCCGATCAAATCATTTGATTCGTAATTGTGGTCTGAAATTGGACATGGTTTGAAGTTTATGGACACACTAGTGGATTGGGAGGACTTCATTATGGATTTGTATGCAAGATTCAAAGATGATAAACTGAGGCAAACAGGGAACTTAGAAGACAAGCTGAATGAATCAAAGGGGCTGATGCTACAACAAAAACCTGCTATGTCACAATCGTGTGCTTGGGATAGTTTCATGGCACAGTTTCGATCTCAGGTTGAGTCATCTACCAAGGCTTTCATTTCCACTTCTATAACTGAAGCCAATGGCAATGCCAGACCCCATGAAGAGACAAAGGAAACGTTGAAACCTCAAGAACAACTCAACAAACCCACAAACTTTGGTCAGCAGCCAATGATCAGCGTGCCCCTGTTAACTAAATCTGGGCTCCTTGTAAAACCTAATGTCACAAATAACTCTTATATGTCAGTCAAGCCTAACATCCCTCTACTATCTAAACTTGAAGCTAATCCTAGAACCAATGTGATGGTGGTCACAAAATTCTAACAGCAACCAGAACAAGGGTGCAAAAAGGTGATAAATGATGGGGTTATTACTGTAATAACCCATTTGAAGTGAGGCATAAGTGTGTGAGCAATGGGGTTCAGCCCTTTCTGGTGGGGATTTTAGGAGAAAAAGAAGTCGATAAGTTGGAAATGCCTGATTGCAACCCAATGCTTGACAGGTGTCCATCAATGTTAATCCATGATATCTCTGAGGGAAATGGGTACAATACAACAAGAAGCACTCCTAACTATATAGATTCTAGTCTTGCTAAAAAGAGGGGATGCTACCTTGAACCCATTACTGTTTGTAAGGAGGCAGTGGCCGATGAGTACAGGTTGCAATGGAAACAAGTTGGTAACAATTTCAACTTTTTCAATTGGGAATGGCAAGGCACATATTTGAATCCTGGGATTTCTGGCAAAACACTTGTTCTTTAGGGAACTGAGCAGAAAATTTGGATAGTAGAAAAAGAAGCCTTCCATTGGTCCAATGGAAGACATACTATACTTCAGCCTCTAAGTGTAGTAGTCAGGACAGAGTGGTTGGTTCCTTGGACAGTAACATAATCTTTCAGGTTGTTTATGACTCAAGGTTCAGGATGGAAAGGTCAAGGTCAAATATTCAGATTTCTTCCAAGCTCAAACCAGAGTGGGAGCAGCTTGCAGAGCTGGCTCAATCAACCTCATCTATTAACCTTCTTTATCTACTAAGGGAGTCAAGAGCGGAGTTGGTAAATGGATATCAACAGAAAAGGGAAGTAATGTTCAGGTTCATTTACCGGAGGCCCAAAACAAAGTAAAGCAATTGGCTGATTCCTATGGCATTGATAAGATTTTGCAGCAGGATCCCTCACAAATTCTAAGATTGGACAGGTGGTTTACAAATATCTGCTGCTAGAAGATGTAAAGATTTACAATGTATCCCTATTGAAGGCCTTTAGAAAAACAATGACTATTCAACAACATATTCCTTCTTGTTCTCAAGGTCCAACCGCTGACCAATCTCCACAAGATGCTACTTGCAGGGGTTAAGGATAGCACATGCAGGTTCATAGCTTTTCATTCTTGAGGACAAGGTTGTCTTAAGGGGGGTAGTATGTTACAGGCTATTTGGAGAAGATATTTTGTGAACCACTCCAAATTGTTAGGAGTTGGTTAGGGGATGGTTAGAGTTGTTAGTTTGTTGATGGTGTCTGTTGTTCGGCTATATAAGCCCTTTATCTTTGTACATTTGAGAATCAATGAATGAATAATCCAATTTACTCTCTTCTATTCACCTCTCTCCCTTCTCTCTCTCGTTATCTCTCTCTTCCTCTCTACTTCCCTGATCTTCAAATCCGCCATTAATGGCTGTACAGACCTTTTCAAAGCTCTCTTCTTTGTAGTCTGAGTAGCTTCCTATTAGGCTGTATCAGACTCTCCCCATTGACGAGTTTTCAGGTCTGGCACTCCATGCGACTAGACCATTGCATGAAGAAGCAGGAGCCATAGGGGACGAAGTCCCATCCAAATGTGATCCACTAGACATGACTGAGTTAATTTGATATCTGATTTTGGTCCGTCAGTGGACACTTGGACTTTGGGGGTTTAGCATTACAGAAGAGTTTTAAGACAATTTCCAGCAATGGGAATCCGTGAGAACATTATTTAACTTGAGCTTATCCAAGGAAAAAGTGATTGTGGGATGGGATAACTCAAAACTCTATTAACAAATCCATAGGAATGGCTCTCGCTGCGACAAAACCATTGCGTAAATAAGCAAGAGCCACAGTGGATGAAGTCCCATCCAACCAGGACCCACCACTCCACTAAACAGGATCTTATCAGATTTTGGGGTGTCAATGGATGGACACTTGGACTTGGGGTTTCATCATTAGAGAAGGGTCTTAAGATAATTTCCAAGCAATTAGAATCTGCGACACCTGTAACTAATTTAAGCCCATCCACAAAAAAAGGTGATCGTCGACAAGCGGATCTTTGTTACTGCTGAAGCTCTTTCCAAGTTTGGTTAGGGTTCTGGTTATGTTCCAAAATGATGGATAGTTTTATCAACAGCTATGGTGGTGGGTTCTTGTTGCGGGTCTATAAGAGTGGGTTAAGAAGCGACCCGACTTTTGAATAGGTTCAATGATTGCGTCCTGGAAACTGCCGATGAGTAATTGAAGTGGCGTCGTATCCTTGGCAATGGCGAATATGAGTGGAGGCAGGCCTGTTGTCTTTGCCCCGCTGTGTGTTCATTGGCAGCTTTGCAGCTGAAATCCGCTATTTTTCTGAGAGAATCTTGGATGGCATTTTTGCATACTATAAACATGAGGCACTAAAGAGATCCCTTGACGAAAAATACCAGGGATTGGTGGCCAGTTTCAATATGAAGGCATATCTCTGTTTGCAGGCAAGTCGTGTGTTGCCTTTGTTGTGTTTGGTACTGCAACACATGCTACCCAAGCCTTAGGACTGAATGTGGTGCATGTGTTGAGGGTCAAGCAAATCAGTGCGATCCAAAGCTTGTTGTGGTCTTTCATGGGAATCCCTAAAATCAACTATTGTATAACATTGGAAATATGAAGGTGTTGTTATAATTGTGTGTGAAATGAGTTCTATACTTTTTCCTAATATTTCAACAGTAGTAAATATAACCAAAATTGTACACAAACCAAGGGTTAGTCTTTGGTTTTTGTATCACTCTTAGTTCCTGTTTGGGAATAACATCTTCGATTAGCATTAGCGTTTTGGATAAAAATTTAACGGTGTAGATTAACTTTAAAAACGCTAATGCTAAACGTTGTCCGTAGATAGTCTTTTCAAAACACTAACGCTAACCTCACAAACGGTCCCTCTTAAATCCAGCCCCCTAGATCATGGTGTATTTATTAAATCCTTGATCAGTATAGTATACAAACAACTGACACTCAAAAAACCCCAAACAAGTTCGGAATGGCCAAACAAGTAGGGGCCACGGGTTATACTAATTGGTAGGTCCTAGCTAGAGGTCGGGGTTTCTTGTCGTGGGACTGCAATACAGTGGGCCAACTAGTATAAAAAGTTTACCCTCCAAAATTTTGACAAGTTGTAGTGGTCCAATGGTAACCACTCAAGACATAAGACTCATTCTGTCTGAGAGGTCTTGAGTTTGAGTCACCATGTAGGTATTTTACCAACAAAAGGGAGTTACATTCACCTTCAGAAAATTAAGAGCTTGAATCTGGTTTTGTAGGTATCATTTGTATCGTTGCACTAAAAAAAAGTCCAAACTCAAGTTGGGTATGACAAAAGGAGTAGGGGCAAGCAATGTATACTAGTCCGTAAGTCAAAGCTGGAGGTTAGGGTTTCTTGGGGCGGGGCTCAGTGCAGCGGGCTGGCTAGTATCGTTGTATCGTTGCACTAAAAAGAGGTCCAAACTCAAGTTGGGTATGAGTGTATGACAAAAGGAGTAGGGGCAATCAATGCATACTAGTCTGTAAGTCAAAGCTGGAGGCTAGGGTTTCTTGGGGCGGGGCTGCAGTGCAGCGGGCTGGCCGGGCTGGCTAGTATCGTTGCACTAAAAAAAGGTCCAAACTCAAGTTGGGTATGACAAAAGAAGTAGGGGCAAGCAATGTATACTAGTCTGTAAGTCAAAGCTGGGCGTTAGGGTTTCTTGGGGCGGGGCTGCAGTGCAGCGGGCTGGCTAGTATAAGACATTTACCCTCCGAAAGTTTTGATAAGTTGGAGTGTCCATTGGTAATTACTCCACACTAAAGATTCTCTCTTTGTGGGAGGTCTTGGATTCGAGTCAGTGTGTAGGCAATTTTCCCAACAAAAGGAACTCACTTTTACATAAAAAAAGGTTGAGAGTTCAATTCCGTTGCGCTCTCAAAAAATCCCAGGCCAAGTTGGATGTGGCCAAACAAGTGTGGGCAAATAGTGTATACCAATCTATAGGTCCAAGGCAAAGGTCGGAGCTTCTTGTGTGGGGATGTGGTGTGATAGGCCAGCTAGTATAACAAGTTAACCTTCCAAAGTCTTGACTAGTTGGAGTAGTTCAATGGTAACCACTCCACATTTAAGACTCTCTACTTGTGGGAGCTTAAGTTCGAGTCACCGAAGGCGTTTTTATCACCAAAAGGACTTAATTTCACTTTATGAAGTTGGAGGGTTCGTATCCGCGTTCATAGACATCATTAGTGCCAACGCTCTAAAAATTCCTGGCCTAATTTAGGTTTGGCTAAACAAGTAGGGCAAACGGTGTATACATATCCGTGAGACCAAGTCAGAGTTAGGAATTCTTGTGGTGGGGCGGTAATGCGGTGGGCCGATTAGTATTAAAAAATATACCTTCCAAAGTTTTAGCTAGAGGTGTAACCAGGATTGCAAAGATAGGTTCAAAATGGATTAATGCCCAAATTCGAATTCTGGCAACATCAATGATGGGTGACTCCTCCCACATATGATATTATGATGTACCTGTCCGGCCGGTCTTGTGGGACCCTAGGAATGAGGTTCATCCATTTTTTAAAGTAGTACACATGAATAGTAAAATACACACAAATGAAGTAATGACCGTATAAACCAATGCAAACACACGACAAATAATATTGAATCATATAATACAACTTGTAATGAACAAAAAGAACAACAAATGTGGAATAATATATTCACTCCATCCCAAAACAAGATTCCACATTTGACTGGACACACTTATTTTTAAATGTGAAATTGTGGAGTGGAGAATTATGCAGCGAAGCAATTTGAACCACACAATTTACTTTAAAAAGAAAGGGGAACCTTTTTTGAAACAAATAAAAATGAAATGTCAATCCTTTTTGGAACAAATCAAAAATTAAATGTCAAACCTTTTTATGGGTCTGGGAATAAGAGATTCAAAACACCCAGAATCTTTTTATGACAAAGTTCGGCCTTGCCTGGTTAAAGAGCACCACTCAATCAAACCACTTTTATTTATATGTGAGACAGGAGATCAATTTTTTATGAATACAAATGGGAGAAGTTTGTTTATAACTCCTAAAACTTTCTCCAAAATTATCATCCACCAAGATGGGCTAGGAAAAGAGTGCCATAGAGTCAACAATTCTAATTTTACTATGAATAGTTTCTACACACAGATGTCTTCACAGTCTGAACCTTTATGTAGAGGCTACTCGCCGTTTCCTGTTTTTTACTGCTGTTTCAAGGATTGAAGCATATACTTGTGGTAATGTGATTTCAATTTGAAACATTATGATAATGGTTTCAGTTTTGGGAAGATAGATTATGGAGAGCTAAGGCATTAGGATTGAATGCAATTCAAACTTACGTTGCGTGGAATGTGCATGAACCAATTGCAGGCCAATTGGTTTTTCAAGGGTCTGCAGATATATTTTCATTTTTAAGCCTTTGCCAGAAATTGGATTTACTAGTTATGCTCCGCATTGGACCATATATCTGTGCAGGTTAGCCACAATATTTAAGACTTTGTTCAAATGGAATGTAACTATTTTATCATTCTGTGTAAGTTGTGATTTGTACTCCGTAGTGTTTTTTTACAGTCATATTTCATAGCACATCTCGAAGTATGTACCACTTAAAAATGTATATGACTTGGTTCCAACTGAAAGGTTCTTTTTCATGTTGCAGAGTGGGATCTAGGAGGCCTTCCAGCTTGGTTGCTTGCTATAGAACCAGCCCTAAGACTGCGATCCTCCGACCCTGCATTTATTACCTTCGTATATTTTCTCCACACTGGTTATCTTTCAATCTACAAATTGAGACACATAAACATTGGACATAATTTTTGTACAGTTTGCTGATTTTCTCTTTCAAGTTATTTGATAACGTAAATATGTAAACTCATACAATTCCAACTAGTACAGGTCGAAAGATGGTGGGGAGTATTACTCCCAAAACTCACTCATTCACTTTACAAAAATGGAGGCCCTATTGTAATGGTCCAGGTGAGCCCAAATTAATAGCATTAAAACAAATAAACAGCAGCACATCAATATAAGTTTGTGTGCGCGCGCTTGTTTTTGTGGATGTATGTTAACTAGGCTCTAAATCAAAATGAATACCAGTATACACAATTTGGGAGCTGTAGCCCTCCAAAGTACAAAATGCTTATATTTTATTTTGTTTGATGCATACTCCAACTTGATACATCTGGACAGATCGAAAACGAGTTCGGTTCATATGGAGATGATAAAGCATACCTTCATCATTTAGTTAGGCTAGCCAGAAGACACCTTGGAGATGATGTTATTCTGTAAGTCACATCAACACCCCTTTGGAAAAAGAAACCGGAAATCTATTAGTCATGCATTAACCACCAAATTTTATTCTGTTAGAGTGTTCAAATCTCTTAAATATACGTGTAATGCTACTCCTTTAGTTTCTAAGAATACATGAAGTGTCAGATATGTATTCTCTGATCTCTCTCTCTCTCTGTGTGTGTGTGTGTGTGGCGCGCGCGCGCATTCCTCTCCCTCTCAGAGTAGGTATGCATGCGAGCATTAGTATGGATGGTCTTTTGAGAGATTTTGTATTCCCCTGTAACCCCTTTAGGTGAACCATGAAGTGTAGCAGAAATTTTTACTAGTATTTTGTATAACAGTTCGAGCTAATGAAAAAAAAAGTATTTTGGTTAAATGGAGTTTATTGTAATGCCTTGTTGATATGCAACTTTTTTTTCTTCGCTTAGAAGTAAATTAAGTCATTCATTTTAATGGTTTGCAGATATACTACAGATGGAGGTACCAAAGAAAATCTAGAGAAAGGGACTATTCCGGGGGATGCTGTCTTTTCATGTAAATGTTACAATCCAAAGATGAAAAAGGGTTCAAGTGTCACCGGAATTTTTTTTATTTAAATATTGTCAACATTTGATTTTTTGGGGGTTTGTTTCCATATTTAGCTGTTGACTTTTCAACTGGAGATGATCCATGGGCTGTATTTGAATTGCAGAAAGAGTTTAATGCACCTGGTAAATCGCCACCTCTTTCCAGGTCAGTATTTGATTACATCTTTTAAATAAAGACGAACTCTTCATCAACTTCAATCAATTGATTTGAATTCAATTTGCATTATGGTTTATTAGTGAGTTTTATACCGGTTGGCTTACACACTGGGGAGAGAAAGTCGCAAACACTGATTCAGATTTTACAGCATCTTCTTTGGAAAACATATTAGCAGGGAATGGATCTGTTGTCCTCTATGTAAGTATTTCACTCTAGATCAGCGTGATTGATTTGATTATCAACTACTTTAAACTGATGGTAACTCTTTCCTCTAGATGGCACATGGTGGGACAAACTTTGGATTTTATAGTGGTGCAAACACTGGTTCAGACGAATCTGATTACAAACCTGATCTTACATCTTATGATTATGTGAGGAAGTATTGAAGAATTTTTTTTCAATATTATCCAAGTTATTTGTGATAACCGATTAAGGCGTTGCCGTTGTTTGTATTTCAATCAATTAAGTTCATGAATACCTCTCTTGTTTAGGATGCACCTATCAAAGAATCAGGCGATGTGGACAATCCAAAGTACGAAGGTATGTCAATAAAGTTCTATGTGGCGCCATTTTAATTTTTTTTCAATACCCTATTTGATCTTCTATAAATGAGCCAGTATGTTGCTAATTACAGCTCTACAAAAAGTGATTGCCAAGTATAGCACAACACCTCTCTATCCAGTTCCTTCCAACAATGAAAAGAAAGCTTATGGACGTATTAAGTTAGGGAATATTCAACATTTATTCGATGTTATTAACTTTAGAGACAATGATAGTATGATAACATCTGAATACCCATTACCAATGGAGTCTCTGGGTCAGGTATACCGGATACATGTTCCTCTTAATGATTGATGTTCTATAGTTTTGCATATGATTCTAGTAGCTAATGGACATAATCAGCTACTTGATTGTTATTGGTGTTCAGATGTTTGGATTTGCGTTGTATGTATCTGATTTTGCTGTGAAAGGCCATAGAAGCATATTGTCAATACCAAAGGTAAGCCAATTTACCAATAAATTGTTATCCGTATGTTATTCAAGTCCATGCTAAATTACTAGCATTAAAGTGCGACCTCGTAGGAGTTTATCTAAATGCAATTCTTTGGAATGCTGTCTATAATTTGATAGGTGCATGACAGGGCACAGGTCTTTCTTTCATGCCCTTCAGACAGTAATGAAGGACCAATATATTTAGGCACTATAATGAGATGGTCAAGCACACCTATAAGCTTTACAGTTGCTAATTGCACTTCCAGGAACAGGATCTTTATATTGGTATTGGAATACCCACCCCCACTGGTTTTTTTTAATGTTTTGCACTATATTGTCATAGGATTGAATTGAAGTCAAAGATGGAATAACTTGTAGAATTCAAAATTTCAACTGCTTCCTAATATTGTTATCCAATTTTTCAAAAGAATTTGTTATTTCCATTGATGTTATAATTGATGGGGTCTTTCAGAAACAACCTCTCTATCCTTTTTAGGTAGGGGTAAGGTTTGTGTACACCTACCCTCCCTAGATCCCATTTAAGGGATCATTTTGGGTCGGTTGTTATTATGTGATAATATAAAAGTACTCCCTCCATCCCCTTTTACTTTACCCTCTTTCATCTCAAGCCCTCCCAAATAATATTCCATTGTCTTGATATTGATTCTTTCCTCTATAACTAAATTTCAACCACATAATTTATTTTATTAAACTTTATGCAAGGGGTTTAGTGGGGTGGAGTAATTGACTAATGGTAATATTTCCTCTTTATCTCTACCATATTTGGAATGCCGCTAGCGTAATGGCCTTTAATTTATATTTCACGAAGCTCTCTTTTACGGCCAAAAACGTAGTATATATTAATTCATGATCAAATGAGTAACAAAGTCAGGGGGGAATGGAATCTCAAACACCACACTGCAAACCAACACTACGCGCCAGTGTATGAGCAACCGACCATTGCACTAACAACTGACGAAAGAAAAAACAGCAGAGTCAAAAGACCCCAACTCCTAAAAGCAACCATCAATAAAAGAACCAAAATACTAACAAAAATGTTGAGCTCTTTCTTAATATTAGATGATAGTAATCATTGCCTCATTTTCATTTTTATAGGTTGAAAATATGGGGCATCTCAATTACGGGCCATATATATTTGACCGGAAGGTGAAGCTTTTGGCTGTGTTGGATTGTGTCTGCCATGCAATGATATGTCACCTTGTAATTAATTTTTGCTCACTTTTTTGTCTTTGTAGGGGATATTGTCTTCTGTATATATTGATGGAAGACCATTGAATGCATGGAGAATGCTGCCGGTCCCTCTCCACAACTTAAATGAGGATGAAAACATAAGTTATATTATTCCAAATGTACATACCAACTATTTAAAGGCAGCTGCAAGATCTGTACACAAGAGGCTGAAAACTAAATTGAGTAAGTTTGAAGCCAAAAAACAAATGTTACGCCCTTCATACTAAAGAAGAGGATATATACGTAGTACTGATCGCGAACAGTGCTGTTTTTTGTAGAGAGTTTGCAATATTTAACATACATGTAGCAACCATGAAATATTACTTCCTAGTTCATAGTAAACAATTCAGTGCCTTCTGGCTACTGGACAGGCTAAAGCGCTTAATTTCCTTTGTTTGCAGAGATTGGATCAGAACCAGCTTTCTACACCGGTCAGTTTTCTGTCCAAAAAGCCAAGGACACATATATTTCACTTCGGGGCTGGAGTAAGGGTGTTGCATTTGTCAATGGATTTAACATAGGGCGATTTTGGCCGGTAGTATTCTAATTAATTTTAGTTTAAGTGTTGTTCTCCTCGTCCAGATTTAGTTGTGAAATACCTCAAACCTAAAGAACGAAGATAAAATAACATATAAATTAATATGCAATTAGAAATGCTTCTAAATAAGAGTAAAATATGGACTAAGCATCTGAGTAGTAATTCTCAAGAATACGTTGACCTTCATTGACGATAACAATGTTAATATGCAATTAGAAATGCTTCTAAATAAGACTAAAATATGGACTAAGCATCTGAATAGGACACCTAAATAGGAGTTGCAATGTTAACATTGACAATGAATTGGAACCCTGTCACCTGAATCTGGCAGCAGCTGCAGCCGGCGACAGGTAGCTGAGGTTTTCGTATCACTGTTTACGTGTGTCAATGTCTCAATGTGTCATTTTCAACGCTTACTTATATTTAGGTATAAAAAAATTAGGGTGTTTCTGGGTGATTTATGGGGTATTTATATAATTCGCCATCATTTGTTTATTTGATATGATAAGCAGACAATGAATTCCGAACACCCCAAAAAGAAGAAAAATGGACAACTAAACCAGAGAGAGACCATTATGCTGGTTGTTTTTTATTTGTTCCTTTAACAAAAAATATTCTGTTCAATTGATTTGCAGTCATTTGGGCCGCAGTGTAATCTCTATGTTCCTGCTCCAATCCTTGTGGAAGGGAAAAACCTTGTGGTATGGCATTCAAAAGTGTAAAAATCTCTTCTTTCATCCTTTCTGAGAAATAGAAAATCAAATAGCACATTTACTTTCTATGACACATGATTAGACAACAATTGTGCTAGTAGACAATAATAAGCTTCTCCTTTAACTTTTTTTGGGCAATGCTAGGGGTACACCAACATGGGTACCCCATTTGTACACCAACACACACACAGACACAAAATGTTTGTGCAGCAGAGACATTTTGTGTCTATGTGTGTCTGTGTTGGCTTGGTGTACATATGTGGTATCCCATGTTGGTGTACCCCTAGGTTAATTCTTTTTTTTTTTTGAGTCTTCTCGCAATTTACTACAGTAAATTGTTTTCATTTACCACAGGTGATTCTAGAGTTGGAAAGGGCAAACCCTGATCTTTCGGTGACTTCAGTGGAGCAGCCCGATTTTACTTGTGGATCCACAAGCTGAAATGTGCATCAACTCTGACATTATCCAAAGCATGTGTGTGTCACTAAAACCTCAAATATAATCCAGTTTGATTTCGGCTTTTAAATTTCTCTTTTGTTGGATTTGTGTGTACATGTAAGCAATGCTGAAGTATTTTGGACCATATATGAGGGAGTATTATTTTTTTAAAACAGAAGAAAAATTGAACAAATTACAATATTTCGGGACAAACGAAAAAAAGTGTTGTTAAGGGTTCCGGTACATCGATATTCAATGTCTTGTTGAAAATTCAAGATTTAGTTTCTCGTAATTTTCTATAAAGTCTTATAGAGTAATGGGATCTCAATCTTTGAGAAAAAATTCTGTCAAAATCTTGAGTAGAAAAAATATACTCTTGTATTTTATAGATGTCTTGCTCTTTGTGGTTAGCTATTTTCTAAAATAAATCATAGTATGATTTTTGTTGGAGTTAAATTGGTTCACTTTTGTGTCAATTGAATGACCTGACTATGATGTTACCGTTACGTCGGGAGGGTTAATAGACTAATGAGGTTGGTTAACTGACTATCCAAGTTCGATTCGGATTCGATTCATCTTGGTATTCATCGAGCTAACTATAAGAGATTGAGATATTAGACTTATTCATCTAAGTAGTAACTAGATCATGCTAGTTACTATTTGAGAGAGGTGTTGGGAACCGTGTGCTGGGTTTATCCCACATCGGACACTCCACCCAATCCACTAAGCTTATCAAAATTTCAGCAAAATAATATCGAGCCATGTTGTTAGTAGGTTAATTGGTTTACGCATATGGTTATTTTATCAACGTAAAGGTATAACAATCACATTCCAAAGGGAATTTAAAAAAATTAGTCTTGAGAGGTAATCAATTATCGTGGCCTCCAAAATTTATAACAATTACTGGTGTAATACTTCTCATATATTTGTAATTATACGTTGTTTGAAGTTATAATAATTTTTTTTATGAGCTTGATTTGGAGAATGATATCATATTTAAAAAGTCCTCATCGTACCTACCCTTGTGGGAATTTATTTCGAGTGTTTAAATCTCTCTTCTTGTGTCTCTTTCAACCTTTGAAATCTCAGGTGCTGAATATCTTTTTTTAAACCTACTAGATTAAAATTCTTGGTCATAAATGATTTGTTAAACACCCTTAAACTTGGTAGCTTAATACAATTTTAAGTGACTCTATTATACATCCGGTTGTACCCACAATTGGGTACAACTGGTAAGTCAAAAAAAGGAGAAAAGTTGTGCGGATCGGAGAAGAAAGGAGAGGTTCCTAATCGGGTCGGGTCAGATCGCATAGGAGAGAAAGGAGAGGTCGATCGAGGAAGGAGAGGATGGAGAGGTGCTCCTTCGATCGACGAAGAAAGCTGCTGTATGGAAGGAGAGGTGTTCCGCATCCGTAGACCGAGGAAAACCCTAGTCGGGTCGGGTGGCGTAGGAGAGAAACTATTTATGGTATGGATTATATTTTGCATGAAAATAAACACTACATTATTTATAGATGAATATTATAATTATATTGAACCAATGTGTGAAAATGAGTACTGCATTATTTTAGAATGAATACCATGCTAATTATAATTAACGAGAATCAGTACTGCTCTACTTCAGAATGATAACTACCCGGATGTACCTATCTCTATGTACATACAGTTGTACCATATACCTTCTCACAGGAACTCAATTAGTGAGATAAGTGATAACTAAGATATTCGTATCATTGTGCACCCTCCATACTTTTACTATTCTACTGCATACATTTTAAATTGACTCAAACACTTGCAAAAATCAAAGAAGCATTCTCATTTTTCCATTCACACTCCCTCCACAGTTGGACACATATTTAAACAGAAACTTGGAAGAAACTTCTCAACTTTGTTTTCTTTGTTTTTTCAACAACTAGACAACATGGGAAAAAATACAATACAATACATCATTCCATGGTACAAAATCAATCATAATACATTTTATTCCTACATTGTGTTGCTTTGCCCAACAGGCTGCAAAACCTTCAAACTTGAGTTTAGGTCGCATAATGCCTATTTTGCCACCAAATAGCTAGCGTTGCCAAAATTTGTTATTTTGGCAATTGCTTAGCAGAATCCTGCTGTTCTTGTTGGATCCCGAAACAGCTACAGATGTTGCAGCTGTCATTGCAGCAGCAGCGGCTGCTGCTGCAACTTTAGCTCCCCCTCCGGCTTTTATGGCACCACCGATTTTAGCAAAAGCCGCTATTCCTCCTACAAGTATGGCTCTCAAAGCCACTGTTGGTTTTATTGACATTTTCGCTAACTTGAAATTCTTTGTTTGGTATAATCTGCACATTGTATGAAAATCCAAAATAAATAATCCATATATCTCAGCACTAAACGTGTTACCAATAAACAGAGTACAAAATAGCATGCCATATTACATTTAACAATCAACCCGTGCGCAAAAGTCATATTAGTAATCATAATCAAAGCTCCAAGCTTAGTAGCTGATTCCCTCCCTATGCTAAAACGTAAGTTGAGAGAACTGGATTGGTAAGTGACCCGGTGGAGCGAGTGGATTAATCATTAATGGATCAATTAATTGGATCAGTAGTGGAACCCATTCACCCATTTTATAATTGGGTTTGCTTTGACCCAAGCAAATTACTAGAGAACGAAAAAAAATTGAACTCAATAATTTTTATTGAATGCTTTGTATGTTTTAACTGCTTTTTTTTATATTTATTATGATAAACTAATATCATAAACTTATAATAATATAAGGATGCACAAAAATAAAAAATTACTAGCGTAGTTTTTTTACCTAAAAATTACTCGTATTGAAAGTGTTGCAAGTTTTTAGTAGACGTCGTGGGTTTTTTTAGTCCAAAAGGTTCTGAGAATAAGTTTCAATTTAATATTCACGTGTACATATTTTTACTAACTAATAAAAAAAACATCTTGGCATCTCACAAATGCAATTACTAACATAGCATTTCCCCTCTCTTCAAACCTCACCAGGACTTCAATCAACTTTGGATTGCATGGTTCACTTTCTCAAGTTGAAGCTTAGACAAATCAGCATCACTATAAAGGTGTTACTAGTTGTCAACTATGCATCCAGTCGCAAGGAAGGGACGACTGGTGGTGGCGAATAGCGACTGGCCACTAGAGTAAAGGATGGCATAATCAAAATTTCAAAGCCCTAACCTATGGCCAAAGTAGAACCACTGCCATTCATCACTACTACTGCCATTCCTTAAGTAAGATTTGGTCTTTCATTATGTTGAACCGACTTCCCATATTTGGTTTCTTTTCATTTTTATTTTCTATCATGTTTTTTGGGGGAGGGGGCAAAAGATCCAGGGGCAGACCCAAATTTTTTTGGGTATGGGGTCCCTGTCCTAAACCATTAACGGCATACACATGAAGTGTGTTGTGTACTCTTTCGCCAAGAGCTATGTGAACTAGTCTATATTTTATTTGTACCAAATTTTGAAAATGAAAGGGAGAGATGTTTAATCATCATAACTATTCAAAGTTTTCCTATAAATGATTTTTAAAAATATTAAAGTTTTAACTCTCAGTGCAAGGTGAATGAGTGAATCATAATATCTTTGATTGAATGAATTTGGTGGGTATATCTTTGGTAGAATCAGAGTTATCCATCACCTCATTATTCCTTAACTTCTTAATACGTTAAGAAATAATAAAAATATGATCATAATCACCCTATTTTGTTTTGCTTTAGAATTTAGAAACATTCTATTGACATGATATATACTAGTTCCACCAAAGCATTCACCTCATTTACCCTTCCAAAACTGTCTGTCCCAACAGACCATGAAGGAACTAACATTATAGAAAATGTCTTCTGTGTTTACGTTCTATCTATCATGTAATGACAAGCTTATAAAGCCACTTCACACCAATTGTGTAAAGACGGAAAGAGGCAGGGATGGAGTGACTTCTCGTATTAATGCTTGATATGTTATGTCTAAGTAGAAACATTTAAAATTTCCACTCATAGATAAGGCCAGAAAACCTCATTCTCTGTAGCTTTCCATCTTTTAGCATTTACGACAACAACACCACTTGAATCCCACAAGGAGTAGGAGAGGGTGTGTGTATGAAGACCTTACCCCTACTCGAAAGTAGAGAGGCTGTTTCCAAAGAGATCCCCAGCTCAGCATCGAAAATTGCATTGATTGACTTACTGCTACTTCATTAATTAAAGAAGAGAAGCGCAGACAGTTTAGAGATCCATTTTGCTTTATTCCATCACACCCCAAAGCCAAAAAAATGGTGCTTGAAATCCTTAAAAAGACTCGTATCAATTTCCACAACAACTTCCTGTACAACTTTCTTTTTCCCCACTCCCTTTTTATAGTGTTACTTGTCTGTTTCATAAGATTAAATTTACACTTTATTGCTTAGTATGAAGACATGTCCCATAAAGATGGCATGCTCATTTGGTGGAATGAAAACATTGCTTGTAGTCGTATGATGCACCATATATGAAAGATAAATGCATTTTGAGACCAAATAAAAAATCTAAGTGTTTTAAATCTTGGGGGCCAGGGTATTTAAAACTTAAAACTATTGTGAAAATTAACAAGTTAACTTTAATTAACATTTTGCAAATTAAATTTAAAAACTAAACCTTAATATGATCATATGGAAATTAACATACTCACAAATGACAAATCCATACTTAACAAATCCACGGATCATAATTTCATATACTCCGTATATCATATACAAATTATTCTTAGGGTCCTTTTGATACACGGAATTCAAGTCATGAAATTAGAATTGAAGACTTCACTTCCAATTCAGCTATTTGATAGCACAAAATATGTGAATTTGGAATTAGTAGGGCAAGAAATATAATGGAATTGAAAATTTCATTTTCATTGAATTAAATTCCATAAAATTTAATTTCCAATTCTTGTCAATTCCATGAACGAAACTGTTAGGATTTACGTAGTAGATTGATACAATTATACTCCGTAGAAACTAAAAAAACCTGGCGTCGTAGCGGAAGAGCGGGGCGGAGGGTGGAGCACTGGACGACAGTTAGGTAATTTTAGATTTAGGTTTTAAAAAAGAGGGCACGGTGTTTGCAACCTTTAATTAAAAGAACAATTAGCTAGCCTGAGCCCTTCAAAAAAATATTCTCACCTTTTAAAACTGGGGTAATTCTCATGACATTGTCCTGCAATGTCATGATGTCACCCGGAGCATTCT